GCCGTCTCAGACAGATGGCTAGGAGCTGAGACCGTCACCCCGGTCTCCTTCCAGCATCTCATCCGTCCAGACACTGAAAGCGTCTATACTGACCTCCTGAATCTTCAACCATTACCTATCTCGGCCCTCAAGAACCCTGCGCTTGAAGAACTCTATGCCAAGCGCTTCGAGTACTTCAACCCCATGCAAACGCAAATCTTCCACACGCTTTACCATACGCCTGCCAATGTGCTTCTTGGATCACCCACTGGTAGCGGCAAGACTGTTGCTGCAGAACTTGCCATGTGGTGGGCTTTCCGTGAAAGACCCAAGTCAAAGGTTGTCTATATTGCGCCAATGAAGGCACTTGTCCGCGAGCGAGTCAAAGACTGGGGAGTTAGATTGGCGCGACCACTGGGCTTGAAGTTGGTGGAGTTAACTGGTGACAATACTCCTGATACTAGAACTATCCAGGACGCTGATATCATCATCACTACGCCTGAGAAGTGGGACGGTATTTCTCGTTCATGGCAGACAAGAGGGTACGTTCGACAAGTGAGCCTGGTCATTATTGACGAGATTCATCTTCTGGCTGGAGACCGTGGGCCTATTCTCGAGATCATTGTGTCCCGTATGAACTACATTGCTTCCTCGACCAAGAATGCCGTCCGTCTCCTGGGCATGTCGACTGCTTGCGCCAACGCGACAGACCTGGGTAACTGGTTAGGTGTCAAAGAAGGCCTTTTCAACTTTAAGCACTCAGTCCGTCCTGTTCCTCTGGAATTATACATCGATGGCTTCCCAGAAGTCAGGGGATTCTGTCCTTTGATGCAGTCTATGAATCGCCCCACCTTCTTGGCTGTTAAGAATCACAGTCCTGACAAGCCTGTCATTGTTTTCGTTCCCTCGCGAAGACAGACTCGTCTGACTGCAAAGGATCTCATCAACTTTTGTGGTATGGAAGATAACCCCCGGCGATTCCTTCACATGGATGAAGATGATTTGCAGCTTAACCTTGCTCGAGTCAAGGATGACGCGCTGAAGGAGGCCATCAACTTTGGAATTGGTCTACATCACGCTGGTCTAGTTGAGTCGGATCGTCAGCTTGCTGAAGAGTTGTTCTTGAACAACAAGATCCAGATCCTGGTCGCTACTAGTACTCTCGCCTGGGGTGTCAACTTGCCTGCTCATCTGGTTGTCGTCAAAGGAACACAATTCTTCGATGCCAAAATTGAGGCCTACAAAGACATGGACTTGACCGATGTTCTGCAAATGTTAGGCCGTGCCGGTCGTCCTCAGTTCGATAACTCGGGAGTTGCACGTATCTTTACCCAGGATTCCAAGAAGGACTTTTACAAGCACTTCCTTCACACTGGCTTCCCGGTAGAGTCATCGCTTCACACCGTTTTGGATAACCATCTTTGCGCCGAAGTCTCGGCTGAGACCATTGTCACCAAACAGGACGCGCTCGACTACCTCACATGGACATTCTTCTTCAGGAGACTACACAAGAATCCGTCGTACTACGGACTCGAGATTTCTGCTGAGGAGCACAATAGCATCGCTGCTCAGCAGCTTGCTAATGAATACATGATTGAGATGGTTAGCAAGTCACTCAACGAGCTTGCTGACTCTAAATGTGTTGAGGTGTTCCCCAATGGCGACGTTGATCCCACACCTCTTGGCAAGATCATGAGTTACTACTACCTCTCGCACAAAACGATCCGTCACCTTGTCAAGCACGCGAAAGCTCAAGCCTCATTCCTCGACGTCTTGTCATGGATGTCCCGCGCTACCGAGTACGACGAACTCCCTGTGCGCCATAATGAAGACCTCATAAACAACACTCTTTCGGACAACTTGCCATTTCCTGGCCACGCCTTTGGGCTGCCTATGTGGGATCCCCACGTGAAGGCATTCCTACTCCTCCAGGCACATATGTCTCAGATAGACCTTCCAATCACTGATTATGTTGGTGATCAGACGAGTGTTCTCGATCAGGCTATCCGTGTCATACAGGCTTCCATCGATGTTCTGACCGAGCTTGGTTATCTGTCCAGTTGCCTGCAAATGATGGCTCTTCTCCAGTCGATCAAGTCGGCTCGTTGGCCTACTGATGCACCAGTGTCCATCCTACCTACGGTCGAGCCCGACGTCAAGAACGATACACCAATTGCTAAGATCAGCGCGCTGACTAGACCTCAGGCGATGCAACTTGCTAAGAAGCTTGGTGTACCTGCGAGCCAGCACAACCGTTTCGCTCGTGCTGTATCTATCCTACCTAACGTCGAGGTATCCATCGCTGCAGCCACGGCGCTCTCAGTGACCATTGGTCTTAAGCGTCTTAACCAGCTGGTCGAGCGAGAGGCTCGCATCTACGCACCCAAGTTCCCTAAACCACAAACAGAATCGTGGTTCGTTATCGTGGCTGATTTGACACGGGACGAAGTCATTGCAGTGAAGCGTGTGGGTTGGACCACGAACCCCAATCGCAAGCTCGAGGCTGGTGGTCGACCCACGGCGAAGACGACCATCAAGCTCCCTCCCGCTCAGGCAGGCCAGGCCCGCAAGTTCGACGTTCTTGTTGTCAGCGATGCTTATCCGGGTCTTGAGTATCGTGTTGAAGGAGTCGATATTCCAGCTCCGCCCACTGTGGATGATGATGTGCAGTCAAAGAAGGCGGATGCGTCTGGGTCAAAATGATGGAAGCTAGATTCGAAATGGACGTTGACTCGAACCAGGCGGTCATGGCTGATATACTGAGCGATTTTCTGTGGTCTCAGGTAGATCTATCAATTAACAAGAATGGAGAACGGTACTTTGGTGTGCCTCCTGTGTTAGACAAATCGAGTGCCTAAGACAACACATTGCAGTTGATGTTCTTGTGGACCTTGAGTTACGTGATAGCAAAATATCCTACGATCAAACTTTCTCTATAGTAGGCTTAAACTCATATGTGTCAAGGTGGTAACTATTCTAGCCTCAGCACAGGCACTTGTCCCATTTTAATTCCTGGTTGCCAGACTAGTCCAGGATTGAATCCTTAAAGTCAATGACACCTACATTTCCTGCCGGAATTTCGACGAAGCAGCCATTTATAGGTAGAGACCCTGATTATTTTGATCACATCAAACATCAGTTGCAAATTTCCAGGGTCTTTCACGACTTATTCATTTATTAGCGTGTTCACAGCGACTAACTTAGCGAGCACTGCATTTCCACGTATAGCGGTTGCTATTAGACACAGCGTGTTTCCAAATGTCAAAACTTCGAATTCTCATCTCAGGCGGTGGCATCGCTGGTCCATCTGCCGCCTTCTGGCTCTCCCGTCTCGGCCATTCCTGCACCATTATAGAAAGATTCCCGTCACTACGCACTGGAGGCCAACAGATCGACATTCGAGGCCAGGGCATTGAAGCTGCGAAGCGCATGGGAATCCTTGAAGAGATCCGAAATAAAGCAGTTGATGAAGATGGTCTGCAATGGGTTGATTCGCAAGGGAAGCAGAAGGCTCTACTTGAAAGAAATGATTCGGGGAAAGGAAGACAATCGTTCACAAGTGAGTTCGAAGTCATGAGAGGAGATTTATGCAAGATCATATACGAGGCGACGAGACAAAGAGCCCAATATCGCTTCGGAACATCGATTGAGAGCTTTGAGAATGTTGGCGATAAGGTGAAGGTCATATTTTCGGATGGAGCTCACGAGAGCTACGATCTTGTCATTGCTGCAGACGGTCAGGGCTCGAGAGTCCGACGAAAGCTATTCGCTGATGACCCTGAAGCTGTTCATGTGCGCGACCTCAACCTGAATGGATGTTACTATAATCTGCCACGTGAAGCAGGCGATAAAAATCTTGCCACTGTATACAGCGCCCCAGGCCGCCGCGTGATCTCAACGCGTTGGCATTCGAAGGACAGAGGTCAAGCATATCTTATGACAATGTCCCATGTGGAAGAGCTGAAGGAGGTCATGAGTCAGGACGTCAACGCTCAGAAGAAGCTCTTTGCAGAGATCTTTAAGGATGCAGGATGGCAGGCTCCGAGACTCATCAAGGCTATGCATGAGACCGAAGACTTTTACGCACAGTCTGTCGTGCAGATCAAGACCAAGACGTGGTCTAAGGGGAGAGTTGTTCTGCTGGGTGACGCAGGATATGCTCCATCTCCACTGACGGGTGTGGGAACTACACTCGCTTTGATAGGAGCCTGTGTCCTCAGCGGAGAAATTGCGAGACATGGCCATGATATCCCCAGAGCTCTCAAGGCGTATGAAGATACTCTGAGACCATACGTCGAGAAGTCTCAAAAATTGCCGTCGTTTGTCCCCGGTATTGCATATCCAAAGACGAACTTTGGAATTAAGTTGCAGTACTCGATTATTGGGCTTATCACCAAGCTTAAGATTGATAAGGCGATTCTTGCTGTATTGCCAGAGAACAAAGGGACTTGGAGGATACCTCCTTATGAAGAGCTGGGGGTTTTAAAGGGATGAGCTATGAGTTGTGATCTGATCCCACAAAAGTATCAGGAATCCGAAAGGACTCCTAGCTTGGAGTTAGCTTTAGGCAATTTGAAAGGAATAATGTCATAAATTAGAGTAGTTCTACCAAAACAATTATATAGCTTTAACCTAGTAATGACCAATAAATAGGATCTAGATATTCTAATAAGCTATAGAAGTATTAATAATAAAGTCTCTAGCCAGACTGAAATCTCAATAAACTTAATCAATAAGGTTACCTTTAGGCTGCAGCGTCTTAAGCAACTCTAATCAAGATGAACACGTCGCCCGACCAGCTGAAGAGCTATAAAATCTACCAAAACCATATCTAAATAAAATTTCGAATGCTTGAGAGCTATTGCTTTGGTTCAAAACTCTCTCAGAGTGAGTCACTCATGTCCAAAGAAGTAAAAGTCAATATGTACGTAGTATAAGTTAGGGGATTTCCGTCACTCAAACCCTCTGTACTCCGTTAACCCCTCCTCTATACTCGCAACAACACCAAGTCTTCTAACAAAATGGGCACTGTGATGCACATAGGTCGCTTACTTTACCTTCCTTTCGAGTTAAGGGAGATGATCTGGGGCTTTTCAGCCTCGACCGGAGATGCAAATGGACTATTGAGATGTTGCCGTCAAACCAGAGACGAATTCTCTCCTTACTGTCAGCTCCCTGACAACATCAACGAACTTCACAAGCCCAAGATCCTGGTAGACTCAACGTATGACCATGGAATTTGGCTCAATTTTGATTACTACTGGAAGCAAAATGGTCACATTCGCCACGCTGTGATCGCCATCCAGAATATGAGCGATCCCATGGTTCTGGGTCTTGGCAGGATGAGGAATATTGACGATAGCGTCGTGGTACTACGCGCCCCAAGACGAGGTCACTTTGTCGGGGCGTTTATGATGGTGTTTGCCAAGATGGACGATGTCTACACTCACATCCTCAATAGGTCACGGTTTCGCAAAAACAAGGGGTGGCCCCCAGACGCCAAAATCACTATTCATTTTACTACTGAAGGTGTACAATCCAGCCAGTCAACGAGAGAAGCAAAGAACTTTTGGGAGTGCTGAGCAACGAAGATACTCGAGGATCCTTTAAGGAAGCATACTACAGACCGGGCACAGATACCCTACTTCTATGAGTACTTTCTTATTTTTTGGGCTAGACTGTCAAGCGTGCCCAAGATTCTACACGATAAAGCGGTACGGAGTCACGGGCATCGAGGCTATCAGCCACCAGCTCGCAATACCATGCCTGGCTATTTGCGAAAGGAGTTTAAGGAGACACTTCTCAACTTCCAGGAGAATATCGCCTCGTATGCGGCCAGGATGCTAGTTGCAGATGTAACAAGCATATACGACCCAGAATTGTCTAACGTTAGTAATCTGGGAGCTCCAGACCAGCTGGCCTGGGAGCATATCAACTACCACACAAAGAGGCTCAGGGCCAGGTATCAATTTCTACTGGACAACTTGGTTGGCCCTATCGGAGGCTGTTTGGATATGTTGCGCTTGCATCGTTTCAAGACGATGCTTTTGTCACCACTTAATTACTTCAGCCACCATGAATGGTAATGTGGGAAGAGATAGTGGTGGACTTGCTGGAGCTTCTAGCAAGATCAATCGTTACCTGAGGTCACTATTTGATCCTTACGCGACAGAGGAAGCTCTCCGTCTGCGACAAACCTGTTCGCATCTTCGTGCGGTTCTTTGGGCCACTGCTTCTCCAACAATTGCTCTTGAGTCTCGTTCTTCCTCCCTCTGGTTAGACCACTATCCCAATGGTATTCGGTACCACTGGAACGGCACGAGTCTCGTCGAATGGAATTTTCGATGGGAAGCAAAGAAATATCAGTTACGCATTGGACCACGCTGGAGAGAGGATATGGTGGCGCGTTTGGGCCGATGGTGGGAATGCATGGGGTGCTGTCAAGGTTCGCTACATTGTATGAGCGAGCTTGCATCCCCTTGCGACCGAAGGCGCCTCCGAAGTTCGGATGCCTTCGTTCAGGACTACGATTCCGATGACTCATATGACCAGTTGCAGTCAGAGGATATTAGGATCGGCCGACCAGTGATAGCCAGTCGAGAGTGTATTCGTAAATTGAAGTTCAAGAAAGGCAGGCATTGGCTTGGTGGTGGTTGCAGCTATCGAAAGCTGGCTTCAGAGTATACAATTTGGAACCACAAGTCACGTTCCAGGGGAACGACTGCGGAGAAGAATGACTTCAAGTTGGTATGCTGTGCATACTCAGTTGAAGCTTTGTGTAATGAGCGAGTTGCTCGTTGCAAGGAATAGGATACTATCTAATACGGGTCGCCTCGAAGAATATCTTCCCATAGCGACAGTAATCGCTAGAGTATATATAGTGAGAAAACTCTATCAGCCATTTGTCGTTTCACTTCAAGCTAAACTATAATTATGCACAATATCCGTAGAAATCTACATGTTTGCAGTTGACCTTATCCTTAAGATTCGGATTTTGAGTTCCAGGGTGGCACTTCAGGGAGGGAAAGAAAACTTAAGACCTTAATCGTAAATAATAAAACGATTTAGGTAAATTTATATAAATTTAATATCTTTTTATTCTATCTTAGAATAACTTTTATAGAGTTTATTTTAATACCTTATATTAAGGTCTGGTATTTTCTTACTCTATGAGGACACTTTAATCTAGAGATGCTGGGATGTGTATTGGATTGAGTGGATATCCCTAACAGAGCCGGCAGGTTGGTTCTCGAAAGGAGAGCGGCTCTGCGGTTCGTCATTCCGAATTACGTTTATCGAGACGGACTTCTCGGGCCGTAATACCTTGGTTTGCATAGCATTAACTTTCTGCATCACCAACAGACATTGGTACTCTGTAGGGAAGCATAAAACTGGTGCGTTGTGCACCATGACTCGCATTCTTGTTTATTGCTTTCTGTTCCTAGGATCGATCCTGTGCTTTACAAGCAATACACCAATTGAATCTTTCTATAGTATTTATCTATATCTCTGATATTGTCTAGAATATTCTTCCAATCCTTCTGTAGTTACAGTAGCAATGGCAGATGTCGTTACGCTCCCGATGTTGTATTGTCGATCTGTAGGGTAGTATTTTCTTAGCGCCGCACCTCAAACAGCTTGTGTTAGAGAGGGTACAAGGACTACGTTGCACAGGGAGATAAGCTCTGACATGCCCTTGTCAGGTCGGTTCATCCTTTATTCAAGCTTAGTATTTACCTTCAAGCTTTGGTTTCTATGCTTAAACTTAATGCTGAGTATAGTTAATTCGAAGTTTGATCAGACTGTCATTTGTGACTATTCACATCCACGTTTACCCGTCGTAAACACAGACAATGGTTTTCGCAGCCTAGTTCAAGTGACACTCATCAAATATATTCTGTTTCTTCGTTTCGCAGCGTTTTATCGTTTTGAATTGATTGTACGTTGTTTATCTTGATCTGACAGACAAGAAACACCAAACTTCTCGAAACACTCTCGTTTGCATTTCTCGTCCGATGCCATCCTCACATCGTACAAACATACACGACTCGTTTCAAGAGAATGCAACTCCTCAAGGAAATCCTATCTTCTTTGCATAACCCCTTGAAACCAGACACCAAAATACCTCGGTCGCACATACAAAATTCTCCCCCAGTAGGAGATGGCAATTCTACGGTTTCAGGTGAAGAAGCGGATCTGCCAAGACCACAGGAGAGGAAGAGAATCGAAATTCCCATCGTTTACCGGCGCCTACTTCTCGAAAAGAATAGACTCGCCGGTGCCTGGGATATTTTAGACTTGAACGGTGGACGGGAACGGTGGCGTAGGCGTAGGCGGGATCGCTCCAATGGGGTGTGCTCCGATATTAAAGGTGCCCGGGGGCTAGGTTTCACCGTTAGACACTCGTCCAATCATGGGAGCATCCTATAGAGCCTCAAACCGAACTTGGCAGGGGTTTAGCGTAACGCCTTGTTTTTTTTTTGACAGCAGGCCCAGGGCCCAGGGCCTAGCGTCTGTAGTGTAAGCCAGCCCTGGCCCAGGCCCAAGGGTTTCAATTTCCGCTATGCGTTTGCTGCAAGTGAGCTTATTTTTCCGTCTATCAATGTCTGTGTCGTTATGGGGTACGCACCAAAGGCGAGACGCCTGAGCTGCAAGGGACCCTTCTAAGTTCTCCTGACGGTAGATTTCGTTCCCTGATCTGATCTAGATTCAACTGTCACTCGCTGGAGATGGTCCCAGCACACCATGTTTGAGGTTATGGCATGGCTTCTTGACGAGATGAAGGCAACTGAACTGAAGTGAGCTGATCCTTGTGGTGGGACTGACCGTAGTTTCCGCCCTGGAGAGGAATAGGATGGAATAGCATACGAACAGGAATAGTTGGAGCCAGGGCCTAATCTCAAGCCCAAGGCGTCGAGATTTGATATATAAGTCGACATCCTTCGTCGTCCCAATACCTTCCTTTCTTCCCCTCCACACTCGTCGTAGCAAAATCAGTCTTTCTTCTTTCTATCTTCACTTTCTTTCAATTTGGCTGTGCCAAACCTTCATTCTTTCTAACAAACCACCGAAGCTCGAACTTTTTTACTTCCGCGACTTCTCGCTTCATCCAATCCTTTAACCAACATCAACTCAAACATATAACTATCTATCAAGATGCGTTTCTCCGCTTCCGCTGCTGCTCTGGCCATGGCCACCACCGTCTCCGCCCACGCTCAGGTCTACGGCCTCTGGGTCAACGGTGAGGACCAGGGTGATGGACGTAACGTCTACATCCGATCTCCCGCCAGCAACTCTCCCGTCAAGGACCTCACCAGCCCCGACCTCGTCTGCAACGTCAACGGTGGCAAGGCTGCTCCCAAGTTCGTCAAGGCTGCTTCCGGTGACGAGCTCACCTTCGAGTGGTACCACGATAACCGTGGAGATGATATCATCGATGGCAGCCACAGGGGTCCCATCATCACCTACATTGCTCCCTACACCGAGAACGACGGCACTGGTGCTATCTGGACCAAGATCGCTGAGGACGGTTACGATGGTAGTGAGTGGGCTGTTGACAAGCTCATCAAGGCCAAGGGCAAGTCCACCTTCACTCTTCCCTCTGCCCTGAAGGCTGGCAAGTACATTGTCCGCCAGGAGATCATCGCTCACCACGAGTCCGATGTTGCCTACGCCTCCAACCCCGCTCGCGGTGCTCAGTTCTACCCCTCTTGCGCTCAGGTTGAGGTCACTGGCTCCGGCACTGCTGTCCCTGATGAGAAGTTCGACTTCAACAAGGGCTACACCTCCACTGACAAGGGCATTGTCTTCAACCTCTACGGTTCTTACACCACCTACGACATCCCCGGCCCTGCTGTCTGGAAGGGTACCTCTTCCGGCTCCGGTTCCGACTCCGGCTCTACTCCCGAGACTCCTGCTGCCACTTCCGCCGCCGCCGAGGCTCCCGCCGCTACCTCCGCTGCTGCTGAGGCCCCTGCTGCTACCCAGCCCGCTGGTGGCAACGCCGGCTCCGAGACCCAGGCTCCCGCCCCTACTCCTACCTTCGCCACCGTTGTCCGACCCTCCGAGGGTGCCTCTGCTCCCACTGAGGCTCCTTCTGCTCCCGTCACTCCCCCCAAGACCGGCTGCTCTTCCAAGCGCCGCCGTGCTCGCCGCGCTGCCCGCCGATCTCTGTAAAGAGCTCGAAAGAGTTCTGAGCAGTGGGGAGTGAGCAACATGCGATACGTCAGTGACGTGTCCATGGACTTCTTTGCCAGCAAAAAACGAATTTGTCCCTCCCTAGTGGAGGGCGATGAAACTGCATCTTTGCAGATGGCTTTCTGTTTGTAAATAGATTGTGCGCTGGCATTTCAGTTGCATATCTTGTATAAATTTTATTACGACGATTGATCTAACTTACTGTTCCTCCCTAATACATCGTGATATGGAGCTTGCATGGTTAAGTGCTATAAATATGTCGAAGGTTCCAGTTGTGGCTTCGTGGCTTCTACGCTTCAGACACTCACCTATCGACGATGTAGAAACCGAAGGGAGTGTATTTGCCAATTCTAATAAATAATTAGAACCAGTCTTAACCTTGGGTTGAAAGACATTGTGACGCTCAAAATTAAACGATGGTATCTACAGAGTAAAGGCAAACCCCTATGAAGAGTTGTCCATATGTCACGGCCGGGAAAAGTGGATCCTTCCGGGCTTCTTCCGTCTTTGCTCATTAGGCAGATTAACAGCTTGTTAGGCGGTAATACCGGTCTAACTTTTCCTGCATTTCAACCTCTAATATTTGGCTTTGAGAGAGCTGGGGTCATAGCATCAAGTCTGTTCTGCGCAAAATTAATCGCCATAAGCGAATAGCACTAGGATTTACTCCCGAGGGAGCAGAGTCACCGAGTTTTCAATATGTCAGCACTGCTCATGTATCTCACATCACATCAGTGATCTTCACCAGCAAAGCAACTGTAAGTTTGTCAGGCATCAAAATATTGATTCATCGGTCCAATTAGCTTCCTCAGGGTGGCCCAATATGTAATCTTTTCTCTTGTATGATCTATCACCAAGTTCTTCACATATGAAACCTGGCCCCTGAAGATTTCACACCCTCTCGCGCTTGTGCAACATATCGGGAGCACAAACTGAGTCCACATATGATCGATGGCATGTGAGTTATAGAAAACGCAGCAACATCACATCTTCCTTGATTGGATGCAATATGTGCAATGCAATCGACAGGTCGATATGGATACGCAGGCCGAGAAAAGTGAGGCTGACGAGGAGCTAGTCCCGCCTAGACGTTCTAGGACGCTCGAATCATTGTTGCCAATACCCTCACTATTTTTCAGAAAGCTCTGGCATATTCACCGTGTTTTGTGAGATAGACAGGTGGTTGGCTAAGGCTTGAATTGTATGGCCCAGTCATTGGGACTTTGGGTCGCAGTGAGTTGAACGGTACATTTGTTGCGGCCCAATGCATTCTTGAACCCAACACATATGGCATTGATCCTGGCCCAACTGGTAGCCTCAACTCTCCAGGTTGTATAACTTGTACTTGTACGAGATCCTTCGCCAAGCACAAGCCAACTGATCGGCTCCTGGGTCGTTGCACGTCTAGCAATCATGTGTGACGAGTGACTAGATCCCCAGGACCAGGTCACTATCGGCAATTAGACTACTATGAGTCTGCCACGTGGTGCGTCTGCCAATGCCAGGTTTGTTCAATTAGTGCTCCAATGCTTCGTGCGTGGACCTGGTAATGCCACTGGCGCGGCTCTGCGTCTATACGACCAATCACCGTCAAATCGGATCGACGACACCTCACATTTGTCAAGGTTGAAAAGACCATGGAAATGAGTTGATTTGAATTTCTCTTTTCCAACGGTTGACAATATGCTTTTCTGATAATGTAGTGGTTGAAAGTTGAGGTAGATGTGTTGTCAGCCACAATGACGGTATGTGCCAGAGGGAGAAACACTCGACTTGAAGGAGTCGAGAATCCAGACCAAACCTACCAGATGAGGCATAAAGCGAAGCCATTTGTGAAATCGCCAATTTTGAACTCATGATCTTGTGGTAGGCGCAACGTCGCAAGTCGGACTTTATGTCATTCAGGGATTTGTGTTAGAAGCCAGAACTTAATGTGAGCGGGTCAAACACAGATGTTCTTCATTCCACTTATCTCCGTGTGACTGAATTTCGAATAAGAAATCAAGCCAAGAAACTCTTTAAGTTTCAGCAATTCAAAGAGGCATCAGAAGCGCCTGAGATTCCGAATTCCGAGAACGCCCCTCGAAAGGATCTTGAGTGATTTGGTAAGAGAGAACCTAATGATTGGTAGAAAGCTCGACAAACTGGTTGCCTAAGGGGCGGGTGTTTGCATTGAAACCAGAAAACTCACACTCTGGAATCCAGAGAGTGGCGCAGATATTAGTCAAAAGATTTTTGAAAGCTGACCATTGCACTTAACCCCCGGACATTGAAGTTCGTGCATGTGAGTAGAATCCTCTCGGTATGCTAGGCCTTTTGCAGTTTCTTAATGTCATGCTGTGGGGAGTGCGCGTGAAAGGGCAATGTACGTCATGATGTGATGAAAAAGGGGGCGATGCTGAGGAAATCTGTGCAGCTTCATCAAACTATTAGCCAGGCTTTGCTCAAGTCGATCTCAGGGCTGTGTGCCAGATACCAGAAGCAAAGCCAGGCAGCCACAGGAGACATACAGCACTTTTGGTTCGGGCGGTTTCCTGCACAGCGACCAGCAAGATGCATGTCTTTGGGCCTTTGCAATGAAACCATTTCCATTGGGACCACTCCACGTATACGAAATATGCGTGGCCACGAATGCACTCGGTCTGAGAATTAGTGCCAGGGAACAAGTCATAGCAGTAGCGATGGCTGGGTGCTGGGGATTGTCTGCCTCACAGCGTCTATGAGACCTGCCGATTATGCTGTTGGACAGGGCGGTTGAAAGCCGACGAGCCGGCAGTGTGACTGATATTCAGAATCATAGGGCAGTGCAATCATGATTCTCCCCTCTAATCTGAATAGTGTCACAAGAAAGTCCATAGCCCTGAGGCGTAGTATCCGCAGAGACAGCCTCCAGTAGAACCAGGGGCGGTACTCACACGGCTGTGCCCAGCAATGATCTTGAGGTACGACTAGTAGTTGGCACAGCTCACTGCTTTGGGCACGAATGTGGGTACCTAAGATCTTTGAAGGGATCGAGTTGCTATTGAGCCGCATGCCATGGTAGAGTATAGAAGGAGCCAGGACGATTTCATGCCGATGAAGGACGAAGTAGACAACAATCAATACGAAAGTGTTCTTGCAACGATTTTTATGTTATGGATCCACCAAAAGCAACGCATCTCAGACGCAGCAGCCGGAAGAAAGTCTTGACAACTTCGTTTCACAGCGGCTGGCCACGCACTGTACCCTCCAAGGGTGGTTATGCCTCCACGCACAGCACTGAGACAATAGGCCACAGTCAAGCGAGAGCTTCTCTTGGCAAGACTCGCATCAAGATTGTAGCCGCCTCTACCGAGGATCGGACTAAAGAAGCCCAGGTGTGGGCTTGGTTGAGGGACGCTGATCGGCCCTGGGAAGGTTTCAGTTTGCCGGACGTATACAGTCTAGACAGTCCACAAGTCGTTCAAAAACCAGCCAAGGGTTCTCCCGAAAAAATGAAGAGGAATAGAGGTCGATCCTCTCAAGGAGAGCGGAACCAACATGACCCAGGCAACAAAGCTCGGCCGGTGGCTTCAGGATGCAGCTCATTCAGGGAACAGGGGGAGGGACCGCAACCAAAAAGGCATTCTGCAGAACCTCTGGTAAGTTCACAGCCCTATTTGTTCGACAGCACTCTGACATGATGCCATCAGTAAAGTGGCCCTGGTCTTTGCAGAGTCTTAACGCGAAAACCGGGAGCACAATGTCCTGTTGACCACTGCTTCAACTGTGGACTTCACCGTATGGGCTGGGCTGGTCTCTTTCAATCTTTTTCCTTATCGAGGTACCTGAGGCACAGTACATCACGCCACGTCTTATCCTGGCAAACAACGTAATTGGACATGCAACCGCACGACGCAGACATTTGGGATGCAAGGGATCCAAACATGGCTAACACTGCTGCAAACTAGCGAATTATGGTGTCCGTGATCAATAGTAGTCAAAGGCGCATGCGGCACCGATTGTGAACATGCGAGTTTAGTTTGCAGTAGTTTTTTGGATGAAAGATGGGGGTACCGTGGATGTTGAGATTGTTCAGCTGGTCAAGCAAACCAACATCAATGCCACCCCGAGTTACAAGGATGGATGAGAGCTCAGCGGGGTAACCACAATTTGAACAACATCAGGGTTTTATCTTCTTCGTCGCCTGGTAATTAGTAACATGAAGGAATCCAATATGATTGTGTACTTGTCTTGCATGTTGTATCCCTCATTTTCATTGGTAAGGTGTTGCTGTGTTGATGAATCAACCTCGAACGTACAGCGAATGCTAGGGTACTCATTGCGTTCAGCCTTATCGGGGTTTGCCAATCCCCGTGAATGTTACATTCACTAGTTCTGCTTTCCCCGGAATCTCCTAGGGTTTTCGGGGCCGCCGAGATCATCTGCGATAGGTTCCTTCTGTGGCCGCATGAGATGCGAAAGTCATAGGTCCAGCAGCTGCAAGTGAAACAGTTTACCCTCTTCCTTGTGTATGGCTGGCTTAGAGGCTAGTGAATCAGTAAGAGAGGATATTCTGCTCTCTTGTACGAATCACATTCATTCCATATTATTCACACACAAATCCACGAAGGAATATCCGCGAGCTGGAAAGGATTGATCATGCTGCAGCTACTGTTGACGTCGTCGGGACAAGGTTATTGGTGTCAGCCGCCGCCAATCTTCCAAGTCTTCTCTTCTTTGTAAAATTGGGGCCCTTTTCACCCTTTCCCATACGCATTGCGCGACACTTAACAACAGAACGGAGAATTTGAATGTCCATCTGCGTTGAATTTTGGGGCTTTGTCTAAGCCGAATGGCTTTAATCGAGCCTTTTCCAATTAGTCGCCCCCGATACCATGCCCGATCACAACCTGACCAGAGTATTTCGACCCATTTGTCGCGTGCCCTGGACCCAACCAAACACAGCCAAGGGACGCGTATAACTAGTTGAACAACAGATGAATCTTCATAGGATGTCTGCTTGGTCATGCTTTCTCGCAGGAGTAGCTGCTGCCCCTGGCATACCGCCTTTGTGCGTACCATGCGAACCTTCTCATCGTAGGTAATCAACGCTGATGATTTCGAACATGTCGTCATCCCAAGAATCCCTCTAATAGATGCCTTTTGCCTCTGAAAGTAACATTCCGCCTAGGTATATGCCTCGTGACAGAAGACCCAGTCAACGACAGCAAACCAGATGCCGAGGCGAGCAGATTAACTCCCATGCCAGGGTTGGTCATGTTTCTTTCATGCCACAACAACCTCCCGTATCGCCCCAGGCTGATGTAAATCGACCCTGTCCTGTAATACCCTTTTCATGCTCCTAGCACATGTTGTCGTGGCTGACCTTCGCAAACTGGCAGAAGTTGCTAGGCGAATTCGCTGGCAAACCGTACGACGACCAGCCTTCATCAAAACAGCAATATCTGACGAATGTTGGGACCTTGACAAGCAGCGATGCTGTCCAAAAAGAAACCGGCTTCGTGAAGTGTTTCCATCTCTGTAATCCGATCAACCTTGCCCAAGCTTGCTACATGCCCTTTACCGTGTAACAGAGAGATGGTGCATTAATACCCCTTTCATGCCCGCCATGAGATGCTTACCAGTCTAAAGGTTTCGTCCCAAGAGTCTGTCACCCACCAGATACATCCATCCCGCCCTTACTCTTAGCTGTTCTCATATTTTCACGATCAGTTGGCTCTTGCCCCTGAGGATCCTTGTCCAACAACCATGACCTCTTCGGGAGATCGCTACGCCAGAGATGCGAGTGGGTTCTCGTCTTCGGGCGCGAACATAACCCAGAGCCATACAAGGCAAGCGCCGCAACCACAGCGCCAGACTACTGCACCCCAGGATGCCATGCTGCACCAACACCTGCCTCAAAACCAGCACTCTGGGACAGCCTACTATCCCCATCAGGACCGATCGTATCCACAAACAGCTTCAAGTCAAGGCACACTGGGCTATACCTATGCTCCATCAAGTCAGCCAGTCTACCAGGGAAGGTATGTGAGGGTGATATCATTGGAAAGACAACGAACACTAGCTAATCCATTCCGAGCAGTCGTATTACCCAGGGATCCAACGATACTTCTGGTGATCAATGCCAGGTAAATTTGCCAGGGGTCCAGCACTCAATGGATGACCCTCAACAAAGAACAACCAACTTCGTGAACGGCCAGCAAGTTCGAATCGAATCGTCTCCCGACGAAGCCGAACAAAACGGTATCAGGCGTGGTACCAACACTATCTCACAATTTGAAAATCAGTTCACAAGGACTATCAACACCAGCACTCCGGCCAGTGAGGCTCAGAGGGATGAGCGATATCCTCAATGCACTCGCCAGAGTTATCCTGGCTATCCCAGAACCCTCGATTATCGTGGCCAACATGACAGCTCCTCACAAGCACGACGGTGAAAGAGAGATCGAAATCAACAGAGTGCAAAGTCTGGCGTTCAACATAGTGTCTGATCGCACTTGGACATGTTATCCTGTTGGTTTCTGCCTCTACCTGACATGCCCGTGATCTCATACGAATTACTATTTCTGTCGTTTCTCGAAGAAACACTCGTTGCTATATGATTTTGGTGTTTTGGCTGGTTGGTGCACCTTGTGCACGAATAGTTTTCATGATCAGACTGTTTTTCGAATTCAGGAGGGTCCGATATGTGGTGTAGAAGTCTTATTATAATTTCAAGACTATTGTTTATCAATCAATGCAATTGATCTGTATTACCAAGGCCACCGCGAGACTAATCCATTGGATGTTAGCTGGGTAGTTTCCAAAATGGTAGATCGCTGGCGAATTTGGGTGTCCCATGTAAGCCACAACCGTGTATTCCCCCCGCGGAGGGTCGTGTATTTCATCCACCATCCAACTTCCCGAATAGATGTTGGCTGCATGAGAAAACAATAGCGCAATGCGGCCAGAAATAGTGCATACATGCAAGTTCGCAGCTTCACACCCGATATCTGTCCACTTGACAGAGAGTGATCCCCCCATTGCATATCACGCTGTTTGCCAGTGGGCAGGCTAGTGAATCAGCCAAGCCAACTGCGAATCATTTAAACGGCATTCTGCTGCGCATGTCTCAATATGTATGTGATGAAAAAGAGACGTGCATTGATCATGATGACCATTGATTAAAAGAGTTGCTTGTTGGAGGTAACACCCATCACTGGCTCAGATCTGAAGTCTGGCTATCTTGGCCAACTAAATCTTGTGCATTCGCTCATCGTATAGTATGTTGGATGTGACCCCTGTAGATTAGAGCTCCTTGGCGTAGTTAAACAGCTCACTGTTTTCTGTGATAGCGTAAAGCCCTTTTGAGTAGACCTTCAAGCCCCCAACTGCACTGGGATAGTGGGAGTTTTATCGTCAATACTCTGACAGCCTGCAAAGCCTTGTAGGTCAATGGGAACTTGCGACAAAAGTTACCGTCTGCTGAGACCTGGCACCAAAACAGATGCTCTGACAGAGTGCCAGCCACCAACATCAACGGCTGGAAATCAGGCTGAGGGGCAATCAACCCCCAATACATAAAACATGGAGGGTCTGTCTCACACACTAGAGAATCTCGGTGCTGGGAATGAGGACTCCGAGCTGAAACTGTATTCCTGGGGGCCGACGCGTGCAGATCAGGAGAGTGGCTTAAAGGGAGGAGATGTTAAGTAGTCGCATATGTCCACTGTCGTGGTTCATCGAATTCTTGCTTCTGGGCCGCATAATGTGAGAGCCTTTTACAGCTCCGCACTGGTCCGTCTTTCTTGTCGAGTGGTGACAGATTCAGGTCGTTACCATGGCACTGGCGAATCTCATGTCCACATCGGTAGGTGTGGCTTCAGCCTTCTGTTCTGTTTCTGTTTCGCATCTGTTTCGTTTCAGTTTGTTTCGTTCAATCTTTGTTTCGTTTGATCATCAACAAAGGCCTGGAATGCTCTTATGAATGAGGACATGGTGTGCGCTTCACCCATGAGCATCTTCCGCTGATGGGACCTTGTTTGGAAATTCTCCAATCGCTTGATGGCCCCCCTAGGCTGCCTTGCCTGGGCTCCTATGCCATTGTACCAAGGACCCGAGGTGCCATCTGGTTGGATGCCGCCTGAAGACTCGGTAACTTCGACGCACGACGAATCCATCACTCCAAGTCGACCAACGAACATGCTCCCTTTCCTTTTTCTTCATGACGATTGCCTCTTCCATCGATCCACTCCTTCCGGATATCCTCCAACAAAATTCGAAGATTAGCGGGATGATCGGTGCTGCCTCTGCTTGTGCCAGCACATGTACAGTAGCCTGTACCCCTGTCGTGAGCTTACTAGCTTGCTGAACGAAGTGACTCTTTTGCCATCACGTCTTTCAAACCTCGTCCATCAATATCGGCACCATCATCAACTGACAACGTACCGTATTGTTGATCGTTCTTCGCAACGTCTCGCCTCATCGGCCTGTCACTTCTTCGGTTCCATTAAACAGCTGGGCGTGTCTGCGGAGGCACGCAAAAGCACTGTGATCTTGTGCGGAGCCTCGCGTATTATCACATCTGGAACCAGCGCTTTCCAGTCTTTTCTGTCAACAGTTACATCACTCTGTTTATAGAAACAGAGTGACTGACAAGTCATTCCATACTTTTTTCCAGGAACCGAAAGAATCTGGCCTGTAGCTTCCTCGTCGATACTCCTCGAACCCCATCCCCTGGAGTTCCGTCTTGCGTGGCATCTTTCAACCTCTGGCACAATCACCAGCACCGGAGGCAAGGAGGATATTGGTATCTCGGGGGCTTCACTGGCGTTATTCAGGGTGCTTTTACACGTCCCACCATGGATCCTCATTCTGAGCTTCGTGGGGCTGTGGCTCTGATGTGCATTACCTGCTCGCAGGCATGTGAGAGAGTGAATGGTCGTTGGGTATGCGTCAACTGTAACCTTGCCTACAAGTATGACGAAGGAGATTTCGAAATAGTGTCCCAGGACAGTCCCAATACCTATGGTAATGGGGTAGTCTTCCGGCCTCTTTCAGGAGCACAAGCGCAAGGCCATCAATCTCCCTCTCCATGTTTCCCTAAGACGGCAGACAAACATGAGAACCACAAAACCTGGGTAAGTTACGGTTTACTGCATCTCCCTTCAACAGAGAGTATACTAACAGTACAGACTTTCCCAGATGTAGTCGAACAGGACAGCCCGTCGAGTCATGATCAGACCAGGGATGGCTCTGTGCCTACACTCTCTCAAGTGTATGCCTTCCAGGGAAGCTGTGACAGGTTTGTCTATTGTGCTTCCACCCGGATAGCGATAAGTCTAATAGCGAAGTAGCGTTGACCACGGATGGCGGGTTGTCGATAATGGCCCAGGCCAGGAGAGAGGTGATCCAAACGAGTCCTATGAGCCGATGGACCTCGACACCGATGATGAGGAACCTAATGACGAAGCGTTTCGCTCTTGGATTGATAAAACAACTGGACCGGGACTGAGCGGGAGACAAAGAGACATTAACCACGTCTTGGATCGAGTCACCTCTCTTGGTCTGGACCTCGACACTTCTTCGATCGCACTCCAAGACGACATGATGCTCGAAATTTCCGATGACACAGATATGGAGGAGTGAAACATATCTTCATGGCTTTCAGCCTCTGGGGAAATAAGACATAGGGGATGGGAGTGAACATGGCGCTAGAGACTTGAAGAGGGTAAAGTGCGCTCGTTCTCTTCCGTCGTGCCTGCCAAGGTACCTAAGCAACATTCTTTCCAGTTTCTATACGTCAACGTCGATCGAAGGGCAGGCACCCCCCGCTGCTGGCAGTTGAGGTACGATTTGAAGAATTAGGAAAGAACCATTTCAGGGGGCGCAGATAGGCGTGGTGCTTCGGGCTGATAGATGAAAGACGAAAGATGAAAAGGAGTGCAAGGAAGAGACTGAACGTCTCCGATGCTTATGATGGATGATAATGACCAGGATAGTGCAAGGAGTGGATGCGTTGTTTGCTTTCGCTGGGAATTGTCTTGGCTTGGGATGGCTTTCTCCTAGACTGTTTGAGCGTGGTGGTTTCTTTGTTTCGCTTATGTTGGTGGTCTATTTGAAACGCGAGGAGCTGCAATGATATGTCACTTTCTCTCAGCGTCCTCGTTCAATTGTATTTGAGACTCTGCCCCTGACATCGAAAGCTCGCCATGCCTACGCAACCAATTCGTAAATGATAAGGCTGTGTAAATTTATTGTCTGCGACGATTCTCCATCCCTCTCATTTGGTATAATGATCATCATCCAATTGGTGATGGCAATTGGTCAATGTCGCCACAGGCTACCACACCAGCTGCGCTTGGTAAAAAGATCAGGCGTGGCAAAGAATGTGCCATCTCCAATAGTTGAGAAAAGAACAGAGATCATCCTTGTGGCTGAGCCAGGGCCTTGAGGTGTATTTTATGTTGTGTGAGTGGCATCTTGAAGTCTCCTGTGCTCAAACACTTGAGTAGCACAAGCTGAGACGACGTAACGAAAAGCCCATGAGAAGCAGAGAGCGCGGAAAGAGACCTGAAAATGAAGAAAGGGGATAAAATAGGGGAAACGGTAAACAAGATCAAATGGCGCACTTGGTGAAGCCACTCATGACAGACAATCCGGGGTAATCGCCTGAACTTTCCGGACCGCCGGGCCCACTCCACCGCCGGGATCATTAGCTGCCTCCGGCAATTTGCATTCTTTCGGGTGCCCGCTTATACTTGCTTGTTGCAAACAGCTACCCTGGGAATCGCCAAACTGGGCGTTCGGCTCTTCATATATATAACTGTTTCAAAATCTTTTCACTGGACACGACGAAACACCGGGACTCGTGTCAGACCGCCTTCGGAGAGGCCGAGGATTCAGCTTGGTCTGTTCATGACTGCAGATCGCATGTTATCAGTCATTCTTTCGGCTGTGCATTCTCGAGGTTAACCTTTAAGGGTCCGCTTGGCTTGTTGATGATTTATATCCTTTTCTGTCGCTGAACCGTCCGCTAGAACCTCGTTGCCCGCCCATCAATGCACGAAGATATTAGCTTCTTCGGCAATGAGTCACATTATTGAATCGCAGCTGCATGGTGAAGGACTTTTAACACCATATATAGACAATCGCCCGATGCCGTTTCACTATTGTTCACGCTGTTTTCACGGTGGTACATGATTGAGATTATAAATCTTCTGTCTGATCTGGCCTTCCACAACGAGACTCCGACCTATCAAGTTCAACTTGCCACAGAAGCCCACCCACCAGGTATCAACAGAGGCGACAAAATGAACCCTGTGGAACTAGACGGAAGAACGGGAGAGGGCGGTGGACAGGTTGTAAGAGTCGCAATAGCAATAGCTGCCTTGACGGGACAGGCTGTCACCATCACCAACGTCAGAGGAAATCGAGAACGTGGAGGTGAGTGATGCCTAAACACGTACTGCAACGCCACCAGCTGATATCCCCCAGGTCTCAAGAGCCAACACGTCACGAGCATTCAGTTCCTCGCGGAGATAACAGATGCGGATGTGGAGGGCCTAAGTGTAGGTTCCAAGACCATAACCTTCGCTCCACGACGAGGACCCACCGAACTATATCAACGCAATATCAAGATATCTGCAGAGTCAGGTTCTGCGAGTACTCTCCTCATTTTGCAAGCTGTCCTCCCGTTTCTGATCTTTGCCGGCAATGACTCCGAGGAATCAGTCGAGCTTTCAATATCTGGTGGATCCAATGTGTCATTTTCACTCAGTTTTGAATATCTGGACCAAGTTCTCCTACCAACATTGGAGGAACGATTTGGAATTCATGTTGAAAGGGCGTTAGAAAGACGTGGATGGAGCCTCGGTCCGCAGTCGAGGGGTCAGATACGTCTCAAGTTTCATCCATTGAAGATTGGCCAAACTCTGCGATACAAATCCCCAGAGCAACGCGCTTACCCTGAGTCCTATGAGATCAAGTCTATTGATGTCAGCATGGTAGTGCCTGGCAGCACGCACGAGAGACTCCAGGCATCACTGACAAGGGGCCTTGGGGACCTATTTTCTGGGGTAGACGTCCATTTCAAGCATGTTGAAGACACGAGCCTAGATTCACGGTGGTACATACTGCTTGTGGCCCATTCCACATCTGGGATCAGATGGGGACATGACTGGCTTGGATCAATACCGAAAAAGACAAAGAACAGGGACATGTTCGTCGATCAAGTGTCAAGAAAATTGTGTCGGGGTTTGTACGATGAGGTAGCTGTCTGTGGCCAAGTGGACGTTCATCTTCAAGATCAAGTGGTCGTTTTCCAAGCACTCTGTGAGGGATTCTCTTCGTTCCCTCGGGGAGATGCCCCAGATGGTTCTCCACCTGACACACTAATCGATGCCATGGGAAACCTGGATATCGATACTGGCAGAATGAGAAAAGAAAAGACGAATGAGCCCTTCGGTTACGGCTCTCTTCATACACAAACAGCCAGGTGGGTTGCCAGCGAGATGTTGCCAAGCGTCGAGTTTTACAACAAAGGCAACCTAGTGAAAGGGGCGGGTATATCAATGAAATAGACTCTGTTGAGAGCTTGACGTTGCATACTTATGACTCAATGGTAGTTCGTTACAGACGAGTATGAAATGTGGTCAGATAAGACCAAAACACCAATGAAAGCATGCATTTTTGTTGAGCGGTGTGGTTGGGATGCGACGTGGCTGCCTGAGGATGGCCTCACAGAGGAGCGAAAGTTTTAACTGGCAGAGAATTATGCTGTATAACACGATTATTTTCGTTGGGTATAAGTTGGCCATCTCCTGCCAACCTCAACTTTGTCTGTGGCTGATGCCACCGTAAGGTGTCCGAGCCTTAGTCTTGTCATAGCAGGCCTCGATAATCATGGTCGTTGCACTTTGGCTACACACTACCGCCAAAATAATGCTCATGAGGATGAAGGAACATCACCGAACCGGAATTGTGACCATCCGAAGCTGCCTTCATGAAGAGTCCATATCTGTTTTCCCCAATCCTCACTGGCGGCGCCTGCAGCGATGAAAACTGGCATAAGGTGATCCATGAAAGGGTGTGCTTGTTTCGCATCTCCCCGCTTACATATCGCCGCCATCTTCTCCTCTCGGACAGCTGGGTCGGCCTCCAAAGCCTCCTTGAGAGCGTTATCGAAGCTCACAACATATGGCAGTGGCTCTGTGTTACCCTCGAACATGTGGTGCATGTCACGTAAGTTGTGTACTGACATTCCGGCTCCAATGATGACTATTCCCTCGTCCCGAAGTGCAGATACAGCACGTCCGAGAGCGTAGTGAGCATGAGGATCTTCGTTTTTGAAGAGCGAGACTTGAACAAGTGGTACGTTGAGTGGATTTGTTTCTGGGTTGAAAGCTGCAAGCTGTTAGACCTTCACATATGGATATCCGTTGTTTGGAGAAACGCACCAACATGAAAGCCAGAAAATACGCCATGATCAAGACCTCGCTCCATTCCATAGGATTGGATACCAGCTTCTGAAAGCATGACCATAATCTTGCTCGCAAGCTCTGGGCTACCCTTGTTTGGATATTGGGCTTTATAAAAGTGATCGGGGAATCCGTAGAAACTGAGATTGTTAATGTAAAGCTTTGTAAAGCATCGAGTGATGTGACGCACTCATAAATGAGAGGAGTGTCTACAGCATTGTTAACATGAATAGCGTGCTCCTCTCCCATCCAATGTGCTGAGAAGACCACTACGGCCTTCGGCTTCACTTTCTGCGTTATTTCCTTTCCAATTTGTTGAAGGACAGGATACACGGGGTGCTTTGTGTTATACTGCACATCAGGCTTGGTGTATGTCAGTAGCTATCCGCTTGAGCTTCAACATAAGTAGACTCACACCACCATGACTGAAGAAGTATACAGGCGCCTTTGTTGCTGTATTCGTCTTTATTGGAAATGTTACATCCTTCTGTGAGTTATGCCAATCAAAGCCTGCCCTCTGCAGAGTCGATGAGAAGGCTTTGAGTGGTGAAGCACCAAACAAGGCAATCATGGCTACGGCAATAGAGAAGAAGCCGATCAATGATCGGAAAGATAGGAGTTGGGTCATATTGAACAGCGATAGGTTTCGGTAGCAACTCTTGAGTTACAGGTTAACCCACGGTTGCTTAGAATATGTGTCTTCCTTTTACATGTACTGTAAGTGTATATCCGAATATCCATCTCGGGAGAGGCCGGCGCTGGTAAATCCATCAGTGGATCTGGCCCAGCTAAAGTGGGATGAATTTGATGCTGAATCAGCTCATCACGGGGATCTTGTTTATGTAGCCGACTGTGGAGGGATCTGAGACATGGTTGCGCTTTTATGCTATGATATTCGGGCTGGAATTTAATTCATAAACATAGTTATTAAAAGCTGGAGCTCGTATAATAGACTGGGTGAACTTATGCAAGCGAATAGAAAGCTCTAGCCAGACACAATCAAATTCAGGAGCCAATCACAACTGGCCTCAACACACAAACTTAGAATGATGCAGGATAAAGCAAACTTGAGTATTAACTTGCGTGAACGTAGAGGTCGTAGAACAAAGAATGAGCCTACTACCTGTTGAAAGCCTGGAAGACCTCACATTCAGACTTGACTGTTACTTACGGCTGGCAAGCTCAAGTTCACGGAGCCGGATAAACTAGCCCCACAACTGCACCAACGCAGCTACGTTTAGTGGTCGGTTGCCTGTGCAACTGCCAGATTAGCCCGCCAAAAATTGGAAGTCAGGGCAGCTTCAGAAACTGCCACTGGGCATGTGAACAGGCGGCTCGTCCAACCATCAGCAACCTCAACTCCTTTCGTGCAGACAAACATCGCCATCTAGGATTTCGTACCTCCTAAGGTATCCGTACGGCCCATCGATTCGACACCCCCTCCTCGCCGTTTGTCAGCTCTCCCTGCCGCCAAAGCCTTCATCATGGCTCCTCTCATTCTACATAACGTTCCTGACGACGAGTGTTACGTTGGCGATGATGGCGTGAAGCGACCATATGCCATGTATTTCAACCAGTATGTCTTCCTCCTTGCCCATTTGAATCAATGCTAACGGAACGCGAAAAAGGCAAGATGCTCCCCAAGGAAGCGCACGATCACGTCGCAGCGCCGCCGAGTCTGGTTCCTTCGGTAAATCCACACGGCGCTCACGATCACGTACTGGTACACCCGCACGCAGTCGCGAAAATCCTACACTAGCTGCTGCAGACAAGCTCTTTGGCGACTGGGTATCGAACCAGGCTGCAACAGCGCCATCTCAAACTGTTCAGCGCAAGAGCAGTGGTTTGATGCAAGAAGAGGTTCCCGTCAAGCGATCTGTTACTTCTACACCCGTCGAGCTCATCCTTCGCGGCTACCGGTCATCAACACAGCAGTACGCCGCTATTTCACACTATGAATCCCTTGCCGGCGCGATCTTGGAGGATTACCCTCGCGAACCTCCTGCCAGCCAACGCCGATACAAATCTGAGTTGCGCGACCCTGCCTTTACGCGACGTCGCAACCTGACAGCAGATGAGCGAGCTATGGTGAATCGCGCAGATGGCGGAGAGCACTGGGTGAAGGTCACCTTTGAAAGCAGAGAAGCTGCCGAAGCTGCTACTTTTGCCAGCCCTCAGAGAATACTGGGTCATCTGGTTTATGCTGAGCCGTACCGTGGTGTTCCTCCCGCCAAAGACGAGGCTTGTCCCGATATCGAGGTCGTCCCAGACCATTACCGCTCACAAAGTATGCCTGCTGCTGTTCCCACTGCCAATGGTCGCAAGAGCTTCAGTGGGCCTACATCGTTTAACAGCCGGCTCCTTGATCTCTCTCCTCCTCATTCGCAGACATCTAGCTTTACCATGGATACTGGAACTATCAGCAACTCTCACGCTTCTACAGCTACGATCACCGAGCCTTTCCCTCTTCCTCAAGCTACCACATCAAGCATCGAACCCATGGAGATCCGTGATGGCGACAGCGTTTTCTGCCGTCGCATCCCTACTGCCCGTCGCGCTACTATTCTTCCCGCCGAACAAGCTCTCCTACCTCAACAGACTATGATGCAACGGGTCGTCAATGCTATTCCCTTTGTGAAGTGGTTCGGCGGTAGCATGATCGGTAACGAAGTACCGCGAACCGAGACCGGCGAGTTTGACTGGAGCAAAGCCAGTCTCTACTGGAAGCTTATCTGGTGGCTCGACGCTACTTTTGGACTATTCAGCGGCGATGTACTCAATGCCGACAAGGACGACTAGAGGACGTTCGGTCGGCGTTGGAAGCCAAAGGTGTTGAAAGCAGCGTCCAAACGAAAGGGGTCGACGTCTAAAAGACGACGATCGTCGGGCGGCCGTGATAGAATGTACGAGAGACGAAGAATTTGATCATTGACCACGGCGTAATAACGATCATGGCGTCAGGCGTGTTATAATGGAATTGGGACGGTGTCTGAGTTAGTCGACATGCTTAATAGATGGAGGGTGGAAATCCGTATAATGTTCTGTACACTATCAATCAAGAGCAAAGTACTCTTGCAAAATCTATTGCTGCCTCTCTGTGAAGAGAATATTTCCCAGATGTCCGTGTAAACGCCCTTGTAGATGAACCCCGAACACGACGATAAGTCACTTTCACCACTTAATCATTTTCAGCTTGGACTTTTATCTTCATCACCGCTCCATGCAGCTGCTGAGCTAGCGTCTGTGATGAGCGGCTGTGAATTTGCCCTTTTTCTCACCGAACTTGGTGATCCTGACCGACCTCTCGTTTCCTCCTCTTGACCATTTTCTTTTTCATGCCCACCATCGCCATTCTGTTGCTCTTCTGCTCCTGCGTCATCAGCTTCCACAACAGGCATCAGGAGCTCCGACCTGTTCAAATCGTCTTCTCCGTTTTCAAGCCCTTCTGCCCTACCACCTAGAGAATCAAATGTCACGTCTGTTGGAATGCGACGAATAGGCTGTGGTGAGAACGGCCTTGCATTGCGGGGTTTGTTGAAGTCAGTTGAGAAGACGCTGTCACTGTCATTCATAACGCCGCCACCGGGTCTAGAATCAGATGCCAGTGCTGCTAGAGATTGATACCGTTCCGTGTCCATAAGAAGACTGTCCCCTCTAGCGTGACTTCTGGATGGATCTGATCCTGTATCGGCCAGTATGCTCTTAGGAGGGAGGATAGAGAAGAGTTTGGGGGTGTCGCCGCTACCGCCACTTCCCAAGTTCGCAGCATCTTCCTCCGTTGCGAATAAGTCTTGACCCTTTTCAAGAAGATCATCCAGGCCGCCTCCGCTCCAGCCTTTCCTCGCTAGACCTTCAAATATGTCCACTTCTGCACGTACAAGACTGCAGCTTGCTTCGACAATCCTTCCACTTGTCTCTTGACTCTCCCTCAATAGTGTCCGTGCATGATCGGCATGCAACGTCGTTAAGCCATCCAATTTTGTCGTCAACTCGACTAAATGTGCCCTAAATCGACCAACATCTCGTCTCCTCTGTTTATGCAGCTTCATTCCTTCTTTCTCCAGTCGCTTGATTTCTTTGCTTTGTGCCTTGATCTTTTGCTTATACGTCTCCTCTTCATCGTCAATAACGGTCTGCCACTTGTCCAGATCATGGAGCAGTGGTACTTCGAAGGATCGGTATACCGTCTCAGAGAGGATCTGTTGGTGATTGGCAACAAGGTAGTGTACTCCGGAGGCGGACATAAGCGTATCAGCTGTGCACGAACCCTTGGTTGTAAAGCTTGCTGTCATATTAGTCCCAGACGGACCGATGGGTTCGGCGCGAGCTTCCTTTAACCTGGCGCATGCTTCAAGTGCTGATCCAAATGTCGATGCGGCGGTTGACAATGCGGCGAGTGCCAGTCGGTAGCCTTTTGCGGAGGCGACAAGGTCGGAGTAAGCTTGCTGAGAGAGCTCTAGGTCGGCTTTTGTAAGGACAGCATGTGAAGATCGTGGGGGCGGCGGCAAAGGCAGATTATACTGAGATAACGGATTTGCAGTCGACGCAAGAGAATAGACTGGCGATCCCGGAACGGGCGGTAGCTGTGACGGTGTCGGCGACACTGGACGCGATGTTGTTTCGGAGGCCATATTTGTTTACTTTGGGCGGTCGATCATCGGGGTATGCTCGGGCTTGTGAGACTGGTTCTCAAGGCGCACAAACGACAAAACTTCAGATATAGTTGTGTGCTTCACAACAATGAAGTTGATGCGTCAGCTTCGATTTGCCGAGTGACGGTCAAGGTTATCGACTCTACCAAGGTTTCGGTTGGCGAATGTTGGAGAAGAAGTGGTCCAGGATCAAGGGTCTGTTGTTTGGAGCTCATCTCCCCCACCGATAGAAGGTTCGCGTGCGCTAGGCGTTAGGGCACTTAGTGGCCCGGTCTTATCATGCAACTCGGTAGGGCGTTCTGAGCCACTCAGTAGTGGAGCGCACGTCATTTGGTGGACATTCATCCATCCATACGGAGAATTTGGAGATCTTTTGGCATCACGAGGTATCGATGAGCGATATCAGATATAGAACACGCGGCATATGAAGTCTATATGATTGGCCCCTTCACAACTCGTGGCAGAATAATGTGATATCAGGATTTTGGAAACCTTTGGCGCTTGGTAGACTATCTATTGTCTTCTATTTCGCACAAGAGAGTGTTCTGTGTTCAAAGGCTCACGAGTCTATACTTTGTGAGGTCTATACCATGTATGACTTTAGTTCTTGGGAGGCAATTGCTTTCTCAGGAACGCCTCAACCTCATCAAGCTCCTCCAGGCAAGCAGAGTGGCCCATACCACTATCAAGAGTTAGCATCTCCTTGTTAATATGGCACTGGTCACTTACGGGTAAGTCTTAAATGACACATCGTAGCCAAGCTCCTTAAGCAGATCGGCACTCAGCTTTCCACGCTGGAAAGGAACAATAGGGTCAGCATCTCCATGGAACATCATCACAGGAGTCTGGCGGTTGGCATCCGTGGGCTTGACAAGGTCGGCAAAGGTTTTGGACAGGAGAAGCCATGATGAAAGGCCGACGATACCGCCCAGCTTGCTTGTGCAGGTGAGACCAGCAAGGAGTGACATGGCGCCTC